CTGATTCCATAGTGCCAGCATTACTACTGTCTCGACTGAGTCAAATGCTTTCTCGTAATATATGAAGGATATATATAGGGGTTGTTCTGGGTAAACTGGTGTGTGCAAATTCAGACAAATGACAACAGAAAAGAAAAGACAGGGACAAGTATAACAACTTTGGTTGTATTCTGCACATTTCTCTATTACATGATTAATAGTATGATAATGATTTATCGTTGAGTAACCTGCACGAAATCCTTCTTGGCCCTTTCATTGATTGAACTCTAATGTCTCCTTAATTTTATTAGCTATTATTTTTCAAGTCCTTGACGTCTCCTTTCTTATGGTTTAAGATGATGTTGCCTTTCTTCCATGATCCCATCAAGAGACACTTCGTATATAAGGTGGCCAGTTTTTCTAACACAATTTCTCCGCCATGTTTCAGTAGGTCCATTGTTACCTTATCCTCAACAGCAGCTTTGCCTCTTTGCATTCCTCTAGGGCTGTCCTTACTTTCCCTGTCATTATTGGTAGGACGTCCAATTCCTCTAGACTACAGTGAAATCTCGGTAAAACGAACCCCCCATTAACAAACTTTTCAGATTAACAAACATTTAAAAATCTTGTGCCGACTGCTAATAGTTTCAATGTAAAATTATTTTACCTCTACATACTTCAGAATACCAAACATTTCAGAATAACGAGCGTTGATATACATTACTACGAGCTTATGTTCTGAATTATGTCACGACCACCAGAGCGGTACACAAGCAGACGACAAAGCGAACGATCGCCTTGCTTCTCGGAAGACGCGCAACGGTGTGGAGAGAAAAAAAAAATGAAAGGGCGACTTTCTTTTCTTTGTTTTTGTTGAAACGCCGATGCTACAGGTTTACACGTGAGTGCAGAGGTGAGGGCAACATGGGAGGGCAAGGTCAGCAAGGCAAAGTGGGAGTTGCGGTGCAGGAAGCATGGGTGCGGAAAACCAGAGACAGGGAATGGAACGCGAGAAATTCTCTTTTTTAGCCCTTTTTTTTTTCTTCGATAGAAGCGATGACAGCTGTGACGCTTTGGTTTTTTTTTTTCAGAGGCCTTGTTTTTTTAGTCGTGTTCATCTCTTTTTGGTGATTACTTATCGCGTCCACGAAGCAAGTCGGCGTGTGCGCTGCGGTGACACTACAAATGAGTTCATCTCTGCTTGCGACGAATAAGTGAAAGCAGTTTTCACTAAGCGACACAATGGATATTCTTCGGCAACTGCAAGGCAAAAAACAGGCTGTTGTGACCAAAGAAACGAATCACACCACAGGAATATGGATGAGCTGGAGGCCTTCATGCAGCAAAAATTGTGCTGCTCGCGTAAAAAAAAATCACAGACTTCTTTAAAGTAAACGTGCATTTTTTGTGCTTACTTGTGCATTTTTTTTCTTATGAAGAACGAGTTCAAGCACTCATCGTTGTAAAGGTAAGTCGTTTTGGTCGGTGAAAAATAAGTATTTGTGATTAATTTTTGAGCTTTTACTACAACGACCTTTCAAAATAACAAACAAATTTTTGCGGTCCCCTGAACTTCGATATACCGAGATTTCACTGTATTATTGTTTCTCACAATATCATCCTGGTAATTTTGGCTTCTGCACAGCTCTCTATATAACTCGTCTGCCACCTCAACTATCCTTACCAAATTGATTATGACATTGCTTTCTTTGTCTCTTACTGCATACATCCGATGTTTGCCTATGCACAAGTTTCCCTACACAGCTTTTAGGCTTCTGCCACTTTTTACTGCCTCAATTCTTTTTATGTTATACCTTCTGATGTCAGCTACCTTACGTCAATTGATAACTTCGAAAGCTCCACTGCCTCTTTTTCTTGGTTCTATTTGAGGCTTTCATGGCCTGTCATCTCTTAATGAGATTTTTCGTTTCCTCAGATAGTTTGCCAGTACGTGTCCTGTCTAGTGACCGTACTTCTAATTTCTATTGCACACTCTTTGATAATACTAGTAAGATTATCATTCTTTGTGTCAATGCTAACATCGGTTACCTCGTTTAGTGCCTCAAATCTCTTTTGAAGTGACACTCTGAACTCCTGTACTTTACCTCTCACCTATAGTTCATCAAGGGCTTTTTGTGTATCAGTTTCTGTTTTTCCTTCTTTAAATCAAGGTGGATACGAACTCTTACCATTTTATGGTCACTAGATCTGATCTTGCTAACTACTTTTACATCCTGTACAATGCCTGGGTGTGCACACAGAATGAAGTATATTTCACTTTTAGTTTCACCATTAAGACTTCGCCACGTCCACTTACGGTTAGCCTGTTTTCTGAAGAAGGTATTCAAGATTCACATATTATTACTAGGCTTTTGCAAATATTCGAATGCTTCGAATATTCCAATGAATAGTTCAGTATTCGAATGCGCTTCAATTTGAATTTAAATCATTGAATATTTTCGAAGTATTCGCAATGAACGAATAGGTGTATACTAATCCGCATGTCACTACCTGTAAAAGTGGTTTCACTGCAATGTAGGATCGCTAAACAGTGAAAGTACCTACCTCCCCCCAAAAAAGTCGCTTTGCCGTGAAGCCCTCCTTCAAATTTACGGGAGCCCTGCAACACTTGTTGAACGTGGTCAGAAAACGCTGCCGATCGGTAGTCGAGGCCACCGAAAACACGTGAGGCAAATATTGCAGCACAGCACGTGGCCTGAAATTCACAAGAAATTTTCAAAGCTAAAAATTGCTTTCTTTTTTCGGCAAATGACTCTACAAGCTCAAAAATCACTTGTCACAGCCAAGAAGGAATGTACGGCTCTTGTCACAGGCATTGGCTGATTTGAGCATGGCGCTCTCGTCGTTTCTGGGGCCACCGCTCGTCCACAAGTACATGCACAATTGCACTGAAAAGCGGCGTATCCGAAGAAAAAGAAAAGAGGTGCTAAAGGTCACGAGGTGCGTGTGAAGTATTTTCTTTTGCCATGCCATTCTTCCCGGCTTAGCTTTCAGCTATTTCGTTGGGACGAGAAGAGAGAATGCAATTGCAGCGTACGACAAAATTTTGGAACTCCGCTTGTACTGGACTGATTCTAGAAACTTTGCAGCAGTAAACTTGTGAGGCAACAAGCATGTTTACTGGCTCCATGGCTACTTGAAAAGTGTTGCAGAGCCCCTTCAAAAGAACATGTTACCCTCAAATCGATTCTTCATTTTATTAGGCTTGTTATGATGGCTTATATGATCCAAGTATAATAAAATCCTCAAACATTAAGTATCTTACAGGTTATCACTCGCATCCTTCCGAAACAACTACTCAAGGTTGTTTCGACTTCCTTTGAATGAAAAAAAAAAGACATTTGCATAGAGCCCCTATTTCAATTCAAAAGAAATATTGTCCAGATTGGTTGGGTTGTGATAAATAACTCTTTTTGTATATGTTTTATATGTCATACATACCATTCAAATTCGATTCGAAATTATTCGATCAAAATCACTATTTGCTTCGAATTCACTTCGAACTGAAAATTCACTATTCCCGCAAGCCTAATTACTACGTTCTGCTAATTCTACGAATAACTCTCCTCTAGCATTTCTAGATCCGATGCCATATTTTCTTACTGCATGGTCTCCAGCCTGTTTCTTGCCTACTTTGACATCAAAGTCGCCCATGAGAAGAGCATACTGCGACTTTATTAATGGCTTACTTTACATCTTCATAAAAGTGTTCAACCAAAGAATCATCATGGCTCGATGTAGGTCTTAAAGTAACCGCACAAATACACAAGACGCTCCACATAGAATACATAAAGACTTGGCGCACACGAGTGCTTTATGTTCAGCAGCCCTCCCGGCTGGCAGTGGAAACATTGAAACGGTGAATGAAACAGCTTCAGTGTCCTCTACCTGATTTAGAGTGCCCGCAGATGTCTGCACAGGTCACTCAGGAACACGTACAAACCAATATAATTTGAGCAAGCACTGTCACTAGATTATAGCAAATACCCCATAGTCTGCCAACAAAGCAACAAATCTTTACATCAGTCAAGTTGAACACGTACAGTGGTTGCACATTCATGAATATCAGGGAATCTCCAAGTGGACTTCATGAAACTGAAGTTGTGCAAGTGATCAAAAAGCAACTAATCTTGAACAGCACTCATCAATTATTCGTCACAGTTCAACAATTTTGGGAAGAAATTTTATCTTTTACTTGGAGCTCCATGATTTGTGCACTTCATTTGAGTTTGTCGTGGCAATATGTAACGTGAATGGCGAGGAATTGTGGAAGTTCTGCAACCTAAAAAACACATTCAAACCTCCAAGAATATGCTCGGTCAAGTTCCACAGTACACAAACAATGATCGACTCAATATTTATTTAAATGTTGAGTCAATCAATGCAAGGCTCAACATTTATTTAAATGTTGAGCCTTGACATGTGAGCTGTGTTCATGAGTGTTTTGCAGTACGCCCACATTGGTGTCATCACAACTTCAATAAAAGCTGGGTGGTCACTGCTAGGCATACTTTTAACACTCTCTCTTTGCAACAAACACTTCCATGCAAGGGAGGCAGAACTTTGGGGGCCAATGTGTGTTGCCTCACCAGCCAGCTGCATGTGATGAAATCACTGATGTGCAACAGCATGCAAGAGTCCTTCCCCCTCAAGCAGTGTTGTACTGAGATTTCAAAATGAAGAGGCATCTTGTTTGCTGTTTGACAGGTGTTGCTTAGTGTCTCCTTTTAGGCATCCACCTCACCTGAGAAATACTTGCCCCACATAATTAAGCGGCACTTTCACGTATTCCTTTTCTTTGGCATGCTAAAGTACTTGCACATCCTGCTTAGTCAATCTTTGCCACACAGTGGTAATTTTGGTAATGAAAAAAAAGGGGGGGGGAAGGAGGCTTTCTGAACAGGTGCAAAGGCAGATGACAAGAGTGTCGTTCAGCTTTCTTCTGCCTCAGAAATGACTGTTTTCATTTCATAGCTCAAGCTTTTCATAATTACACGCACCTTCTTTGTCAATCACACTGTGGTCCACTTGTGGCTGAGACAGAATTGCATTCAGAGTCCCCTTGGGCAGTGATCCAAGCACAGCGCAGTGCAAAATAGTGCGACCTGCACAGTCCACCAGTCCACAATCGGCTCCACGGCGCAGTAGGATCGTCACTAGGTCATGTCGCCCGCCCTGTGCCGCCAAATGCAATGGTGTCTGCAACAGAAATCAACCATTCACAAAAAATTGCTGAAACAAAATTACAGTAGACTCCATTCAAATGAAACCTGGAGGAACCAGAAAAATGGGTATCATTTAAGAGGGATTTCGTTTACTCAGAGATAAACAGGGGTACAATATTCAAGTATGAAACCAATCATATTAGAAGCAGTTGTTGCATTTAAGCAGCAATTTCATTTAAGAGAGTTTCGTTTACTGGGAGTCTACCGTATTCACAGATATTCTTCCACGACTACTTCTACACCAGTTTTCATTTCGCAAAGCCTTGCATTTGGCACAGGAACAAAAACAAAAAGAATATGATGAACTGATATCGTATGATGTCGTTCTGTTAAAATTAATATTATGCACAGGACGGAAATACTATAGTCAAACCAATTCGAGCCCTTATGTGAGCTCCAGCAATCATGCTGAAAGGCTCAATGAGTGCTTTATAAATGACGTTGTGTTTCACCGATGATAATATTAGCAATAGCTGGCATTCTGTTCCCCACAATCCCAGTAGAGCGGGAATTGCTTGTATGTTGACTTTTCATTATATGGGGACAAGTTGGCCGAAATAAATAATTTTGCTTATAATGTGCCGACTACTGCCTTTGTCAACATCGTGACCATGTGACAATATTTTTACTGATGAAAAATAAATCTGGTCAAAGTGCATGTAACCTTACATATTTCTTTTTTCCCTCTGCATGAGTGGCTGCTGGAGAAGCAAACTGGAGAACATTTGGTCCACACAGTTACCCACGTACAGAAACATGAATTCTGCTCTGTCAATTTTATTCCATTCACCCACAAATGCCAAATGCAGTCTTGAAAAAAGAAGATATTTAGAGAAAAAAAGTTGGTCCCGCATCTGCATGTTACACTGCAAATGTCATCGAACAACGATAGTCTTGCATCTGGAGAGAGTGAACAAAACGTTTATTTGATATTCTGAGCTAGAACATTGGTGAATTGTATTCTGCAAGAACTACGTTAGAGTGTCTCGATCCGTGCAGCAAAGCGTACGAGCGCTATCTGGCAGTTATTCTCGAAAACGGAGAAAGGCATGCACGCGTGTCTTGAAGCCAATAAGATGTAGAACGCAAAGCGATGGGCAGGTGCCACCACAGTATCATCTTAGCAAAGCATTGGAAACACTTGCCTTTTTGAGCATCACGTTGCATTGTCAGCGCAGCATGATCAACGCTACGATCCTTAGAATTACTTATGTATGTCTTCTCTAGTATGAAGACACACATACAGAATAATGACGTGTTGTTATGGTGCCTCAGATATTCGTAATAATTGCTTTTTAATTGACAATCACACAAATATAAAGGCTGAAACTTGAGCAGAATTGGTGGGCGCTGCAGATAGGGTTGGCCGTTTGGGGAATTGTTTGAGGTCGTTTGGGGTATTATTACGGCGGACAAACATACAAATACACAGACAGACAGACAGACAGACAGACAGACAGACAGACAGAAAGACAAAGACCAAAATTTTCACGTCTAAGTACCCAAAGAAAGCCTCTCGTTTTTAATAATTTGATATAAAAATCTCCCGCTCCTAGTAGACGGCGTGATCTGCGGCACTGTCTTCAGCTCGAACACTAGAACCACGCTGTGCCAGGAACTAGCCAATAGCCTCGGTGGTGGTTGAATGGTCACCAGGACCCTGTGATTGTCGTCGCCGGCTAGGTGGATGCCTTGACGCCTCGGTACCTGCACATGATGAGCTCGCACGCCACACCCTAGCCGCATTCTTCCAAGCCCTCGCACAATTCTTCCTCTTCCTTCTTCTTCAATGCAGTCGCTCTGGATCTTTTCGCGATTTTCTTGTGTTTCTCTTCTTTTTCAATGGCCAGTGTTTGCCTCACTGGTGCAGGTAACACATTGTCAGTCGTCCATCTTACCACACCAAATTCGAAAATCAGTTCACTCGCGCACTTCACTCATAACACTCATGAGTCGACCTACTTGGATCGACTCGTCAGCTTGAGTGAGTGCAGGTAATATTTTGGTGCGTTTCAGTCCGAGTGATGAAAAATTTCAGCAAGCATGCATACGGTCAGTCCAGTTAAGAAAACTTTGATTAGCATGAGTTCAAGTGAGCCCTAAGAAGAGCGAGGTATATATTTAATGAACGAGTCTGAGTGAGCTCTAGTTAGCCTATGCACAGCGCAGTGTGGCAATGTCTTTACGGATGGAGGCATGATGGCAGTAAGCGGCAAACTAATCAGTACGACTTAATCACTGACAACCCTCATAGCTAACCATCTCCAGCTAACTACATGAGGTCCAGCACAGTTGTAAGCATACTGCAAGCTCTTAAAGGCGACAACCATAGCGCGCCGTGCTGCCATTCATGCTACCTTTTTACATGAGACTGCTAAGCACGCCGCACAGATGTGTTGCTTTGAGGAAAAAAGCTCTTTACTGCCACGCCTGTGTGTGGTCATGAACTGAGTGGACATAACCAAAACTTTGACGGCAAACGCGAGTATGGTAAAGCAAATGCCTTGCCAGTGATGGCCGCCCACAACTAGAAATGATCAGCTACACACAACAGCAAATAGTGCATTTTGGCAGAGATTTTTATACTACAGTAGCTCAACGTTTACATGCGCACACGCATCAGGGAAAGCCGGACGAGTATTCCAATCTTCCGCCACAGCCTTCGAGTTCCGCTTCATTGCTTTCAAACGGCCCATGTGAAAGAGCCGTAATTTATTCCACGCTTTGTTGGTATTGGCAACGCTCATCACGAGACGCAAACTTGCAATTAGTGGTTGGCACACACTTAAGTGATGTTTGTGGCAGACACTGAATGCATTCACAAGAACCTGGGCCCACACTGAAATTTCCAATAAGAGGGTATGAAGCTATTTCGGACGTGGCCGTCACTATTTTACCTCGGAATAAGAAAGCATGATTTCGTTCGTTTTTCAAACTGCCCAATTTTTAGACCATTTCGCAGTCTCGAGAGAGCCTGAAAAATCTGACATGAACTGTACATGTTCAAGTCCTAATTCACTTCAGTTATTTTCATTTTCCACTTACAAGCCATATCTGGTATCGCGTAATCCTTACTACTTGCCTATCACCCTGCTTGTACATTCAGTCCCTGCCCAATGTGTAGCAAAAGTCGAGAATGTGTAGCTGCCCAAATTGCCTATTGGGGCACAGAGTTTATTCTCATATCAGTGACAATGCACCACCAAACCTCACCTGTCCTCCATTATTTTGCTTGTTGATACACACACTATACTTCTTTGTGCTTGCTAAGATCTTCAATACGGGGTTGAGCACATATGAAGGATGCCTTACAGCCACGTGCACAGCACTGTTGGGGATAAAAGAAAAAGAAAAAAAATGGTACATAAGTTGCGTATGCTTGCGGCTCACTTTCAACTAGAGAGTGGCACATTGAGCCATGAATGACACATTGCCTGCATGCCACTGAGAAGTACTGCTACACCCAGCAAACTCTTCTGCTCTGTCGTTACTACTACATTAGAGAAAATGATTGCGAGCTTATTGCTTAGACACAACCTAACAAAACCAGCATATAATAAAGCTACAGGGGACATTATTTGTAGCTTTGAAAGAACCCCTGAGAGCGAAAGTTTTGTTTGCAATATTTTCATGGTAATTTGTAGCTTTGCATCTGGAAATGCCGAAATTGAATCATAAATGCTCTAGAACATCATATAGTTAATACTAGCATCATTAATTCGGGCCAATTTTGTGTCAATTAGAAATGCCTGCCTAAATACCATAGGAAACTAAAGCCCCACAGAGGCACAGTGCCCAAGACTGAGTGCGCTCAAGCTTCGGTGACACTGAACCGGTCATTTTGAAGTAAAGGGACTTGCGGGCGGTGACGAATGAATCAATGTGGGTGCTTTGAGCGTGTCCCTACTCAGAAAAAAAAGCATTCCTGGCATAAACAGCAACACCACTTTGAAAGCAGCCAGACAAAAGAGTGACAGGTGTGACGAACAATATTCCTTGCCGGGAGCCAGTCAAGCTATTGCACACACCCACAAATGTTCTCTGACATCAGTACTACTTGCTTAACCTATGTAACATCATGTGAGGATCTACGTCAAACCACAGAAAATGTTGATAGTGCCTTAATACTCAAGTGAGCACTCAGGCTTACTTTAAAATAGAATGAAAATATCTTATAGGCAATGCTCATCACTGAAAATCAGTCAGAAGGTAAACGATTGGCATGCAGGACTCTCAAACAAAACAAGCATCTCAAGCTTCCAAATCAGGTGTCAAGTGTCTTTTCACTGTAGTATAGTAATTATAAAATTAAACTGGATGAAAAATGAACTTGCTGCATCACTGAACCATCATTCATTTGAACATTATTCTATATTTCTTTTTTAATTACTGTAGGATAGCTAAAATCTACAAATAATGTCCTTCCTTAGCTTCATTATCTGTTGGTTTCATTATAGGTTGCCATAAAAGTGATATTCTGTCAAGTTGGCCATGATGCAAGGCAATCTTTACTTACTAGAGCAACACGTCCTACATATGAAAACTATTTACATATCTACTAAGAACAGCTGTCACTAAGCTCATAATATAAAATGTGGTGCATGACATTGCATCGTGAAAAAAAAAAAAACATTAGGTGAACTTTTATGGAACAATGGCACAAGCAGAAATTTAAGCTATGTTCATGCCCATAGACTGCAATTCAGGGAAGCCCTCATGCTGTTTCACACATAATTGGGCTCCACCATGTCTGTGAGTTATCCAGGTGTCTTACAGCACAGAGTTTTCTATAAGTACACTAGAGGGAACACTGACACAAGTGTCTATGGGAGCTGCAACGCACTGTCCTTCAGAGAACATGGGAATGATGGGTAGTATACACAAATTTGCCTATTCTTCGTACTTTCAGCTCTGTTTGGCTTCACGTGACTTGAAGCTGCTTCGTCACGAAACAACAACCAGCAAATGTTCAGCAGTTGCACTTTACTCCCTAAACCCTTTAGGTTTACTAATTCAAATATGCTCACGAAGTTTAAAATAGTCTGGTCTTTTATTAAAGACAAAACCAAAACACAGCAATAAACAAAGCCACAAGCGTGTTCAAAGCTTGAAAGCACGAATACAGTCCAACCCCTTTGTAAGAGACACTGATATAAGAGACAAATGGGTATAAGACACCAGTAGGCCGACGGTAGAATGTGTGTTGATAAGAAAATGCATACGAGGTACCTTGCTTATACAATAAATCTCATATAAAAGACAAGAATTGCTGCCCAAAGCATGCCTCCTATAAAGGGGTTCAACTGTACTAGGCAAGTTTGTGTAATACCCATTCTTACCATGGTCGCTGATAGTTAATTTTAGGAAACTCTAAGCCTTACAAGATGATAACAGACAAGGAGAGAAACAAATGTACTAAGCACCTATTGACAAATTATCGTTAGTGTATTCCCCCCACTCCCTCCTCCCAAAAGTCGAGGAGATTAGCAGAGATTAGATTAAGTGCAATTCACAGGCAAATGGCTTAGCTTCTAGTCTTGGATGGCGGTATACATCACTCCATATCATAAATTTTGATATGCCATGATTTGGAGTAAGCACTAGCATTCAGAATGATGCCCATCCACATGGAGGGCTATGACTGACACAGCAGTACATAAGGCATAAGTTGGCCAGTTGTGTGGCTCAGTCTGCTAAGTTGTGCACCTGGCCTAGTGCCACGAGCAGTATGCATACATCACAAACGTGCCGCACATCATTCATGCAGCCTCTTGGTGCGAGATCGCTAAGTGCTTCGCACAGATGAACTGCTTTCAGGAGCATAAGCAGCTCGCCATTGCCATGCTGATGTGCGGTTAGAAAAGGAGTGGGCATCACGAACACTTTCATGACAAATGCGTGCATACTGTAGAGCAGTTATTTTCAAATGAGGGTCTGCGAATCCCAGGGTATCCACGAAACCCTCACCTGTTTTTGTTCTTCTACATTTAAAAAAATTTTTTTTCATATGCAACTCTGTTTAGGCGAGACTGTGCCACATATTGATGAACTGTCCAAAATGAAGTGATGTGGCACGTTTGTTTGATGTTTTTAGTAGCAATAAAAGGCACTTGTTTCATGCTCCAGTTGTGTTAATTTGCCTACATACCCCGCCTCCTCCCTCCCTACCCTCCGCTGCAAGGGGTTCCCCATCACTTCAACCAGTCCACAAGGGGTCCCCGACACATCCTTGGCTGAGAATCACTGCTGTAGAGCAAGCACCCAGGCATGCACGCAACTATAAACTATAGAGTTTACGCCGCAGCAAATGCTGTGTACTATCGGCAGAAATTCAGTGCACACGCATCGGTGAAAGCTAGCCAAGTAGTCCGTTCTTCTGCCACAGTCATCTTTTTCAAACACTCCATGTGAGAGAGCCACAGGAGGAGCGTGGCCTTGAACCGGTGCATTTTTTTCCCTCTCCATCTCTCAACCATGTATCTGGCTGCCCCCTTACTACCGCTGGTGTGTGCCAATTCACACATTTTGCATTGCACGGCGTGTGAGAGGTCAATGTGTTTAATTTATCAACTCGCTAAACCAACTGTGCTGATGCAAACTGAATTGACCCATGAGAACAGGTCGACAGGCTACCACTGCACTTTGTTAGCTGCAAAAAGAATCGGAAGTGTAAAAGACTGGCAGCCGAGACATGCAAAGTGCACTGGTCATGCTTTGAAATTATTTTGCGTTGCACGCCTTCCCATCCAATAAACAGGTTATTTATTGGAGGTAATGTTTGCACTTGTAGCCATTTATTCATCACACCAGTCGTGATTCTGCATGGATGCTGGTACGCTTTATCATCTGCACCAAGAAGAAGCAGCTGGATGTGTTGCCGAAAATTCTCCTGTAACATCAACATCCATCATTCCCATTCCTTGCAACAGCATAAGATTTACAATGCCTGAGGCTAGTGAAATCCAAGTGTGTGCAATTCAGAGATCATCGAGCTTGAACTTTTCAAGCTACATGAGAGAAATTAAGGCCCGCATGATAAGTGTTCTTTGGTGCAGGAACGCACATCTGGTGTCACTTAAACCATGTTCTTTCTCGACCTGTCAATTTTGTGACGATAACCGGGGTAGCATTATGACAACCACACTTCTTCCCCCCCCCCCCCCCCCAGTGGCAACCTGGGTGTCATGAATAATCTGCCATCGTGCGTTAAAGTTTGGTCATTTATTACCTGACCATGTGCGCTCATTGTGTTGCTTCTTCAGTACTCATCAAAAAACAAACTGACAACAATGCTACGTAAAGTGGGCACGCTTTCACCATATCACCAGTGGTGGCTGCTCGCGCCAGAAAGAACTTACACCATACCGTGTGTCCAGATGTGCAACAAGCTAATTTTAATTTTCTCATTGTGTTGCTCCTGCACGGAAGTCTGACCTCACCTATTGTACATTCGTTTCTTATCCTGCTCAACAATAGGACATCAAAACTTTTTGACTATACAACAATGACACGAATCGACACAGGCATCGGTGTTTGTGCTCCCTTCGTTCCATGAGCTTTGTATTGTGAAGTTCTAAGCAGAACCAGATAATCTGTAAGCGATTATAGACTTACGCTAAACTTATAGTATCACAGCAAAAAAAACACAATATAATTTTAAATGTTTATGTGCACACTTCACATACAGATCACCAATGGCATACGTATATTAGCTCGTCTCCATTACGCTTCACCTATTACTGATTTTTCCTAAAGGTTTCTGAAAAGTCAACATTAGTGCATTCTCCCAGTGCCACACAAGGCCTGCTATGATAAAGCACACTATCCTATTTACAAGTGCTGCTGAAGAATTGCCTAGAAATTCTACTTAAATCCTACATCTATGGTCGGAACCACTGTGAGATTGTCTCATAGGTCACTTCAGCTTTTGATTTCAGTCATTTCGAAGCTGACAGCTCAGCGATTATTTATTGGCACCTTTACAGTTGTCAGACATTGCCATGTTTTGCCCATGTACTGCAAGGAGCAGCAATATCTTGTGAACTGAGCGTATACACTGCATACACCGCAGCAGAACCTCACACATTGGCATGGCTGCGAAACATCGCAGAGGCTAGATAGCACTGTGGCCAGAAAAGTGGTGGTAGGTATTCACGAGAGTTCAAGTGCATACCAAAATGCCTTATAAGTGTACTGAAAAGCATTAAAGCTATTTTGGACAAAACTGTGGGAATTTGACCTCTTGAGCAGAATATAAATGCATGAATTTGTTTTCTAGGGACTGTCTGATTTTTGAAACAATTTTGTGGTTCTCTGGGAGTTTGAACAGCTCGAATAGTAAAGTTTCAGGGCATATCGAATCAAATGGCAACCGCTATTCACAAATTTTTAGGAAATTCAAAAATTTGCACACCTCAGTTTTTACTATTCTTATATGCAAAGAAATTACATACTTTTTTAGACACATATCCTTCGATGAGTATGAAACTGCAAGTACAATACCTAAATGTAGTGACCATAACTCACTTGTTTCCATTCCTGTCACAGATTGGAATTATCTTAGTGACCAGTTCAGCCAAGGTTTCGGTCGAGCACTTGCTCACAAGTTCCTTCATGAGCCAGCAGACCAGAGCATACAGTGCTATGCCAAGCTTGTCACCCGCCTTACTGTTCTGAATAGTGGTAGGCTCGTCAAACGAGTCACGCATTGTCGTGTGGTCTAACTTGTCTTTTTCAGAGCTATGGTAGAAAGAAGTGGTGCCACTATGTCGATTTCCACCTTGTGTTCGATGTTGGCTGGCTATGCTGTCCAGAGAAAGTCTTCCCATGGAAGCCTCCAGCCCACTTCCATCGGTGGCCATGATCACCGATTCCAGGGGAGTAGGCACTGGCAAAGTGAACAAAATAGAAAAAGGCAGGAGCTGAATATGGTTATATTTTTCACGTGGCACAAATCCCTATGTTGCAAGCAGAGGATCTGTAGATACCAAAATGCTAACTACGGCAATGAACTACCATGGCCAGTGAAGTCTTAGTGCTGACGAACAACTATGCCCACAAAGACAAGTATTATTGAGCGATGTTCAGCTCTGTCACTGTGCGAATGTGTTCTACACTCTTAGGTGCTTGAACTGCATGCGTTAGTCCTTCAGTAGGTACAGTATACCATGTAAATACTGAAACCTAACAGCTAAGTTTACACAAAGGTGATTAATAACATCCAAAGTTATAGTAGTGCATCCAAGAAGCGACAAAGTGAAGAACGCATACTCAGTGCTATTTTTCAACAGTACCTTGATGTAGGCTATATATGTACTACTGTTGATCCTGTGAGTAAGCTGTATGGTTAAAAGTAAGCACTATGCATGTGTGTTATGTGCTTTTAATTTTGTCGCAGATGCCCTATACCTTTGGATGCCAGCAACTAAGTAAACGACAGTGTTCGCTAGACACGTAAAGCAAATAGAGCATTGACATGAATTCTAGAAGTTTTTATATTTTTCCTCTAGACAGAAATACTGTGGTTGAGTACCCTGAAAAAAATAATGTGGTGCCTCAGAACATATTGAATATAATTTATTAAGCCGAAAGTAGTCTTTTTAGGTACTGACCTTAAAAGACCAATTTTGGCTTCAATATCGCAGGGCTGTTTCATAGTGACACACGTCATGTGCTTGAACATATTTTAGCCCAGCACATGACTACGCAGACACAAGAAAAGAAGGGACAAACCGCAGCACTTCTTCTTTTCCTTTTTTTTTTTCTATTCTCTGCGTAGTAGTGCACTGCATTGAAAAGTGTGCAAGTGCTGTCACCAACTGGCCCAGCTTTCAGACCTTCTACACATCATGTGGTCAAAGTCATGTGGGAACAACAACTCGTGGCATACTAGCAGCAGCTCTGCCATCTGCTGTCAGTTAGACATGGTGCACATAAACAATGATGAGTGAGTTAACCTTCAACGCAGGATGCAGAGCTCACTCAACAAACTTTGCTCACTCATGATAATGCTCATTGCAGAAGAATTCACTTACAGATGCTTGGCAATACAAACTTTAAAACAAACACAAATATTTTATTTTTGTATATTTCTTGGCTCCATTGTGTGAAAAGCATGAACTCTGCATGACAAAGGCAAAAAAAAATTCCCTTTTGTGATGCCTCGAAATTGCATGAAAAGCACAAAATACCAAATCCTGGCATTTGTCTGTACCAATTAAAGTCCTTTAAACAACAAACAATGCATGTGGAATCATGCAAGAGTTTTGTCCTTTTCTCATTTGCTAGCAGTAACATTTCGGCGCATTCTGAAGCCACAGTCACCAAAGAAAAAAATCTTTGTAATTAATATTGTATATTTTTTTGTACAGAATTATTGGATCTCTTTACAGCTTGCACTCCCTCAAGCACCGCATACTCGCTTGCATTTTGCAGGTGGGAAGGTGCAGTTCCTACAAAGAATAGCCATTTAAGTAAAATGTCAAGTTTGGCATTGAAGCTTGCCTACTAAAGGCACAACAACAGTGCGGTTTCATTTCTTCTAACTTGTTCATTGATGAACTGATTTGCATACATTTAAATGAAGCCTTACAAGTTTAACAGTGCGACCAGGCCCTTTAACTGCACACCGACTTAGGTACAAGGTTTCATGTTACACATAATTGAATTTGGTGGGCATGTCATCATATTTTCAGAAGTTAGCATAAACATTCAACGAGAGTGAAATGTTTACACTCAGAATAAACGTGCACACCTTCACAGTACACATAGCGAATTTTCATTTAACAAAAGTCTTCTCACATGACATAACATTGTTCTGTTTAGCTTATGATCTCAACTTGAGTGCCAGGCATTTTTGAGACCCGACTCAGCAGAAAGTGTGAGGCAGCAACACTACTCATGCTTGACAGAAAAAATAGTGGTTTTGTACTTTCCTTCTATCTTCTTTTCTCTTGAAGTTAATCTCTAGTCTAAACATGGCACTGCTGGCAAACAAAAACAAAGCTAAGGCAAAACCAAGGCAAGTAACGAAAAACCAAGGCAGGTAACATATGACAGTTATCATTGCACACAAGTTGAAACTGGGAATCATCGTTGGGATTATGTGACCATTTCCCAACCAGATTTCTTATTGGCTGCTCTGATGAATTATACTAGCAGAGCATCTCAGCACTCTGATTTTTAGTTAGGTAATCAGAGAAGAGCACCAGAATAAAGCCACAACTTTGACCACCTGAGTGTCAATAGATTTCTTGGGAGCACTTCAATTACCCCCTAAGCAGACCATTAGAATACATGTATGCCATTAATAAAAAGGACTAAAGGTGAATGTGAGCTGTTGCAGATGTGAAGGAGAAAAGCCGCAGCAATGTAAAATTATTTGTTTTTTTTTTAAATAATCCTGCTGACAACTGTGCCCCAGTTCAATTCCCTTCGAGATGCAAGGCAACATTCAAGCTATCATTTAATTTACAACAAACTTCCAAATACTTTACCTAGTGCAGCCCCTAAAAATTGTGACAAGATCAACTCAACTCATTACTATAATTAATATACTCACAGAGGGGTTCGCCAACAACCCAAGAGCAGCATAACTAGTTCAGCCAAATGCAGTTTCATGAAGATGTAGCTGCTGTTGATTGTGAAAAAGAAACACTAGGCCATTGCGGAAATGTGAGCGCGGCAGAAGTCACCTTATAAGAGCCTGTTAAAAGCTCTCTTAGGGCCCTTACTACCAGTATAGTTACGAAGTATCGACTACCCCATAAAGCATCATAATTTTGTAATGAATGTAAGCACCCTTTATGCGATTATTTATCACTCTGTGGAGAAGCGAGCACCCACCACGGATGTTTAAGGCATTATGTGGTTGATGCTGTGGCTGATGACGAATCATGGCAGAGTCATTTGTACGAGCTCTCAACCACATAATGCAATGCACAATGTGTGATGCCTGGTTGCTATATTATTCTTCTACTATGCCACAGCAGGACATCTGTTAAGATGATTCCTAGACTGACACGACACCTGTATAGGGTCTCCTTACAAAGTAGTTTCAAGCACCAGCATCACTTTGTGGTAGAATATTCAATTACCATGCAAAGGACCTTTTTCAAATCCCACTCAACACTGGATGACTTCTCATTGCACACAACAGCAGTTACGGGCACCAGTGGCAGTAGCCGACAACTACACCACGGAAATTGGCTGCTGTGGCGATCTCAACAGCATTCACTGTAAAAGCCACAAAGAGGTCGGGCGAATGTCCAAATCATGCGCTGTGGCTTGGTGGCAAACATAGACGTTGAAAAAGCAAATGTTGCACAGTACAGCCACAGTGCTAGTCATACAAGTTAAAGAACTACCCCGTTTTAAGAAATAGTGCTAGGACAAAATGCGTGCCGTTTCTTGGTGACAAACATTCTAAAGACTTTCTAAAATTGTGCATCTTGCTTGGTGTACTCCAGGCTATTACAGTGAAAGTTCCTAGATCACACGAGCTGATTTTTATGTCGCAGCTATCCGTGATGGTCACCGGTGTCTGTAACCACTATTGTGTGCCATGACTATAAAAAAATGTCTTGCTTGAGCAGGATTTCAACTCAGGCACTCTGCATGACAGTCAAGTATTCTGGCAACATAGAGGAATACTATAATTAATGAAAGGGTGGTAGGTATTGTAGTTAAACTGAATAAGAGATACAAGATGAAGGTGGTACAGGCTTACGCACCTACATCCAACTGATGACGCTTCAGTTGAAAGCTTCTATGACGACGTGGAATCGGCAATGAGTAAGGTAAAAACGCAGCATACTATACTGACGGGAGACTTTAATGCAAAGGTAGGATATGTGGGGTTTAACGTCCCAAAACCACTATATGATTAATGCAAAGGTAGGGAAGAAGCAGGCTGGAGACCAGGCAGTAGGAGATTATGGTATCGGTACTAGGAACGCCAGAGGAGAGCTACTAGTAGAATTCGCAGAACGCAATAATTTGCGGATTTTGAATACCTTCTACCGAAAACGAGGAAACTGCAAGTGGACATGGAGGAGCCCTAATGGCGAAAATAAGAACGAAATAGACTTTATAATGACTGCACACCCAGGAATCGTGCAGAATGTGGAAGTGGTTGGCAAGGTACGATGCAGTGACCATAGAATGGTACGGTCTCGAATTAACTTAGACTTGAAGAAGGAACGACAGAAACTGATACGCAAGAAGCCAATCAATGAGCTATCACTGAGAGGGAAAGTACAGGAATTCGGAGTCTTGCTTGAGAACAGGTACTCGGCTCTTAGTGAGGAAACCAACCTTAGCGTAGATACAATGAATGATAATCTGACAAGTATCATTACAGAGTGTGCAGTGGAAGTTGGAGGCAGAGTAGTTAGACAGGACTATCCACCCTGTTTACATGGTGTCTCCTGACGAAAAGAGTGCCAGAGTCTTGGAAGAATGCTAACATCATCTTAATACACAAGAAAGGAGATGACAAGGACTTGAAAAATTACAGGCCGATCAGCTTGCTCTCTGTAATATACAAGCTATTTACAAAGGTAATTGCTAACAGAGTAACGAAAACATTAGAATTCAATCAACCAAAGAAACAAGCAGGATTTCGAACAGGCTACTCAACAATCGATCACATTCATACTATCAATCAGGTAATAGAGAAATTGACAGAATATAACCAACCACTATACGTAGCCTTCATAGATTACAAGAAGGCGTTTGATTAAGTAGAAATATCAGTCGTCATGCAGACACTGCGGGATCAGGGCGTCGATGAAGTATATATAAACATCTTGGAAGAAATCTACAGGGGATCAGCTGCTACCATAGTGCTTCATAAAGAAAGCAATAGAATACCAATCAAGAAGGGTGTAAGGCCGGGGGACACAATCTCCCCAATGCTATTTACCGCATGCTTACAGGAGGTTTACAGAAGCCTAGAATGGGAACAGTTAGGGATAAGAGTTAATGGAGAGTACCTCAGTAACCTACGCTTCGCCGATGACATTGAATTTCTGAGTAACTCAGGAGACGAATTGCAACTCATGATTATGGAGTTATACAAGGAGAGCATAAAGGTGGGTCTTAAAATTAATCTGCAGAAAACAAAAGTAATGTACAACAACCTCGGAAAAGAGCAGCGCTTCGAGATAGGTAATAGTGCACTTCAAGTTGTAAAAGACTATGTCTACTTAAGGCAGGTAATAACCACAGAGCCGAACCACGAGATTGAAGTAACTAGAAGAATAAGAATGGGGTGGAGCACATTTGGCAAGCACTCTCAAATTATGATGGGTAGATTGCCACTATCCCTTAAGAGGAAGGTATATAACAGCTGTATCTTGCCCGTACATAGCTATAGAGAAGAAACCTGGAGACTTACAAAGAGGGTTCAGCTTAAATTGAGGACGACGCAGCGAGCAATGGAAAGAAAAATGGTAGGTGTAACCTTAAGAGACAAGAAGAGAGCAGAGTTGATTAGGAAACAAACAGGGGTTAAGAATATCATAGTTGAAATCAAGAAGAGAAAATGGACATGGGCCAGAAATGTAGCGCGTAGACAGGATAACCGCTGGTCATTAAGGGTAACTAACTGGATTCCCAGAGAAGGCAAGCGAGTTAGGGGGAGACAGAAAGTTAGGTGGGCAGATAAGATTAAGAAGTTTGCGGGTATAAATTGGCACAAGACCGGGTTAACTGGCGGAACATGGGAGAGGACTTTGTCCTGCAGTGGACGTAGTCAGGCTGATGATGATGATGACTCTGCATGGCAGTCAAGTATTCTACCACAGTGCCATCCGGAGCTTGAAACTTTTTTGTAAAGAGAGCTATTCAGGTGCCATGTCGAGCAAGGAATTGTGTTATCATATGTAATATTAAGAAGAGTAAAATAACAACCAGGTGTCACGCAATGCTGATAGCATAACGAGTTGGTGGTTTTAATTTTCATACCTACAACGAAGGGCTCAGCCATAATTGTTATTCATTCTCAGCAGCCACAGTATCAACAAAGTGTACACATTGCCTTGCACGAGCATAGAGGGTATCTCACTATTCTGCAGAATGATATGTAATTGCATACAGCAGTGGTTCTCAAATGAAGGTCTGCAAAGCCATTTTTTGCGGCCTGCCAAGCTTATACTCGAAAAAAAAAAAACCGACAGATTCCACGCACCGGAGCATTGCAAAGCAGCCTGCAAGGGGTGGCACACATGTAAAGGCTGGTTCACACCCGCAAATAGAGCCAGTTGCGCGACCATGTTAGTCACTTTATGAGTGGTTGCAAACAATCATTTTGGTCGCAAAATGGCTGCTTTGGCTGATCGCTTGCTGCAAGATTTTTCAGTCATGCGACTGCAGGCGCAGAACGGCTGGAAGTAATCAGCAAAGCCAAGAAGTGATGTAAGGATTTCTTTACATCTGGGTTCATTGCTTTTTTTTTTTTATTGCACTGGCCCACTGCTGCCAGATTCAAATGACTGCGCTCTTCTATGCGATCATGGCCACCACGGTGTACTCGGCTTGGAGACCGGTGGGGCACAGCAGCTCGAGCAAAGTGTCGAATGTTCGTGGCGGCATTTGCAAGAAGCTAAACACCACCAAAAGAAGGAGAAAATAGATTATGCACCATCTTTCCCCATATTTAGAATAGCTCCTTGACTTGAACTTGATTTGCCTCCATGTTCAATGCAGCGCATTCGAAACACCTTTGTGCTGGCTTGACATCGCCTAAAGTTCGAGACGTGTTTGTGCTGCATTGAAGGCAGTGGGAAGTCAAGTTCAAGTCCAGCGCCATTTCTGGATACGTAGGGCCACAAACTAACCTTGGTCTTCCCTCGAGGTTTCCTAAAGCTTTTGTACCTTCTACATGCAAAGACACCAAAATGGTAACAACGTAAAAGATTACAACAAGATTGGTACATGAATACTGCCCTACTTTGTACATCAAGTCCAATAAAGGCTTACAGGCTATAAGAAAAACTCAGGTAAGACTGAGGATGGTTTGTGAATACGAGCTGCTACTCTCAGACATACTCCTCGTCGTGTGAGCGCAGGTCGCGAATCAAACGGCTTGCATGGCCAGTCACCTCTCACGAGCAAAGGAACAGGGTCGCACCCACCACCCCCTTTTTTTTCTTTAAAGGCTTCCATCATGCTGTCACGTAATAATAATAGCTTATATGACCCTTAAACCCTAAATGACACTCCACAGAGTCACACTCTCACAAAGAAAACAATATATAGAAATTCACTTCAATGACAAAGTCCTGAGCAAAGGTTAAACTATTGAGGCAAAATAGTATTAGGACGAACTGTAAGAGTTGGGCATGCCATCAGTGTCAGTGACTTACGACATTTTTTGTCTTGGCTGGTTGACTTACCTTTATTGAAGTCGACTTCTTCAAACAGTTCAGACCGTACGGGGGGGCTAAAGCTTTCCAACATGACCTTTAACATTTCTTCCATGTCTTCCTCGCTCACCGGAAGAGACAGGTTTTCCCCTGTGCACACGCGAAAGCTCAGTTGAACACGGTGCTGAGTGTGAAAGACCAAAATGAAATAAGCAATGCACTGGTTCAACTAGCCATTCCCTAATTCGGTCAGCAAAACACATAGACATCAGCAAGTCACATGTCGTATTACAAAATATCTATGTATCGTACTCTACTTTCTCACCCATTATTTGCCATTTCTCATTTTAAACATTGTAAGCACACAGTGCACATATATTATCCCGAAGCAAAAAAGAAACTGCATTTATTTCACAATTTATAGCAATAAGCAAAGCCTTTATGAGCTGGAAGGACAAAAAAGCACATTACGATAAAGTACTTCTTTAATACTATACCAGTGAAACCTTCTTAAATGATCACTTTTGGTGATACCGTCATAATAACGATATCTTGCAAAGTTTCATCTACACACATTGCTGACACAGAGCAGCTCAATTAATGTTGTCATTTAGGAATGTACGATAAAATTACTTACAGTAACCAGCAAAGGGATGAGACCACAAATGCCTGCATTACCACTACCCAAGCAAGAAAGATTCACTTCATAATGTGTCACAACAAAATGCAGACGAATTGTCTTTATCAGTGCAAGTGCCATTGCTCCCAAACCTATGCTTTCAAGGGAATGAAGCTGGCACTTCTTGCCTGGCAACTACGCAACGGATAAATGAAACACCTTTATAGACACTTTTTCCAGCATGACTAAACTTTAAACTGAGGGGAAAAAAAAACAAAGAAGAGTGGTACATTATAGATTCAGCACTTCCACTTTTTATTTTTCAGCACATCGGAATATACTAGTAACAATTACAGTTTCAGTGGAATGTTATAAACTGCCTTGTCTGCTTAAGGTTTTCAGTGCACCTATACTTTGATGATATTACACATGAACGAGATCCTCTTATTTAGTAAACAGTACAGTACTTCTGGCAACACTTGTTGATATTCTTTATTGATGTCAATACTTTGTAATGGCAAGTAATGGCCATTGCAAAGTTTTAACTTCGATAAAAATATGACAGCAATATTATTCATTATTGCTATCTCTAACTCTCTCGAATAAAAGAGAGTTAGAGATGGTTTTAATAATGATTAACTCTATATCGAACTGGGCTGACATATGGTTGACGCAATTTAATATAGCTAAATGTAAAATAATGCATGTAACTCTGCCAAAATATTAACCTAACACATTCTCCTAGAAGCCATAACATTCTACAAGTACCTTGGCGTTTACATTACTTCAGCACTTTACTGGTTCTTACACATTGCTAAACTAATTAGGCAATACTTGCCACATGTTAGGTTATATTCGGTGAAATTTCTTTTCTGCTCTGTCCTCATTAAAATTATCCTTATATAAAACATTAATTAGGAGTAAAATGGACTATACTTCATCCATATATGAGACCCACACTCCACAACCCATATTCAATTGCTTGAACTAATCCAAAAGAATGCCGCGCTGTTCCATATATAAATATGGAACTCGCCTAATGAACACACTTGCATAATAAACGCACACCCTACATTCATCCGCAGTCCCCCTAGCCAACACCTGGCGCCTCCTCATCGGTTGGATCTTTTCCGTTTTTTTATTACTTTGCCAACCTCCTTCAACCACCGCGGCTCGCTCCCTCCCCTCCTTCGCCTGTTGCGGCATGACTATTGCTTTTCTTTCTATCTGTGTGCGGCACGTCCACTGTCTTAGTTGTGCGCCACAGCGGGGTTTACAAGCGCTGCGAATGTAGAGACATCGCAGCTGATAGGCACACAGCGAGCGAAGGTCACTGAACTGCCCGCGCCAAGCGACGTCGGTCGCTTCCTGCGACCCCCCCCCCCCCCTTTTTTTAGCCTACTTCCTTGTTTGTTCACTCTAACTGTCCCTTCATTTCCCGTTCTCCCGTGAGAGCAGGCTTTTGTGAGTCCCTCGAGATCACAAGCAGATACCACTGCTGTGGTTAAACGATTGCGAGAAAAGATAGCTGCAAAGTGTTTTCATGGCTTGGGGGGGTGGCCCAGGGACAGCTTGAAGAAGATAGCGTCATTAACCACCGAAGATAAGTGAAGTGCAACAAAAAAAGATGTTTCCAAACAGTGTACGCCTATGTGAATTTCAAAAGCCTAAGCACCTAACTTTTTTTATTGCGATAGCAATGATAGGGACACTTTCGGCTAGATTTTGCCGCCGGCGTCGGCATCGATATGTATACGCATATGTATACGTGTATATATATATATATATATATATATATATATATATATATATATATATATATATATATATATGAAAACGCAAGAAAGAAAAAATCCAGACAAAAGCGCTCTGGCGCGCGAAATCGAACGTGGGACCTCTGCGTCGTGAAAGCGACGTGTTTACCACTGAGCCACACTGGACTTTTTTTTTTTCTTTATTACCGGTTTTGCACAAGGTACACGTCAATATAAGTCGCTGTAAACAGTAACATAAAAACAGAAGTGATGACGAAACAGTCGCGGAACAATTAGTGATTACAGTGCTAAAATTCCTTCAGGTTCACCAGGGGTTCGACCCTGGAGAGCCATTCCGGAACAAAATCTTGTTGTTTGAGTATATCAATGTACTGAGCAATGCTTTCGCGGAAAAGCATACGGGCCGGACGCCTGGCAGGGTCACAGTAGTAACCGGCCGTTCTTGCCCGCCATAGACAATGGAGGCCAAGCAGCATTATAAGATCAAAAGGCAGTCCCTCCTCTTTTTCTACTGTTAAAAACCTGATACCCAGTGAATGTAAGGGAAGTTCCTTTTTTAGAGTTCTTTGCAAAACAACCCAGAAGTAAACCCCTTCCCAACAATGCAGAAAAACGTGATCTATTGTCTCCGGTTTTCGGCAGATCAAACAGTTCGAACCCCATGGCATATAAACTCCTCTATCTTCAAAAACAGTCTTAACCGGTAGTGTTTCGGAGTGTAATTTAAAGAAGAAGCTTTTTGCACTAGGCTGAATTTGCATTTTCTTAACACGCTTAAGAACATCATTGCCTTCTCCCCCGCTATACTATACATACATAATCTATACATAGGAACTGGAAAGATCATGTCGCATATGTCTTCATGAAATCTCTTTCGCCCGACCGAAAAAAGGTATTCATTGGAAAACCGAACTGACAAGAACCGGACACTATCCGCAACTTCCTTAAAGAAACCACACGTAGCTCCCGGCATGCTCGCGGTGCTAACCACAAAGTTAGGCAGAACACGACAAAGATGTAACTGGCATACCGTTCTTAAGAAGGGGTGTTGAACATCTCGAAAGAAAATAAAACGATTAACTAGTTGTCGCACGAACAGATGCGACAGGCTTAGTCCCCCCTGTTTTACTCTTCGGAACAGATTTGTCCTACTACATTTTTCCCAAGTAGACCCCTATATAAACACAGCAAATATCCTATGCAGCTTTTGCACATGCACCCGTGAGCAACACAATACCTGCATCACATACCATAATTTGCTCATTAAAAATATGTTGCATACAGTGGCTCTGGCAAACATTGAGAGACAGTTGCCATTCGACTGCGCTGTCCTTTCGCGCGTTTCTTTTATTTGTTCATTCCAGTAGTCATTGGTGTCTTTGTAGTGCTGGAAAGGCACGCCTAGATATTTTACTGGAGTATTAAACCAGTGAACGTTAGCATAGGTATCTGGGGTTGATGTCCAGTCTCCGTGCCACAATCCCAGACACTTTCCCTAATTAACCCGACTTCCTGTAATTTCTCCAAAATTTTTAACGGCAAGTGTATCTTGTACGCTCTCTTTGGTGGTGCAACACACTGCTACATCATCAGCGTATGGCAAAACCTTTACCTTGGCGTCAAGCAGTCTGAAACCACGGATGGTCTCGTTTTCTATTATGGCCAAGCATAAGCTCTCTATGTACAATGCAAACAAGAGTGGACTTGCCGGACATCCCTGGCGAACAGAACGTTCCAGCCTAATGGGAGACCCCGGGATCTTGTTAATAATTAGTCGTGTAGTAGAGTTCTTATACACCAAAACTATGCCCTCTGTAATCAACGATCCGACATTGACATGTTCAAGTATGGTGAATAACACATCTTGCGACACGTAGTCAAAAGCCTTTTCTAAATCAAGCTGGAGGATCGCAACATGAGAATTAAAAGCATCGCAACTCTCAAGGACACATCGCATTGTGTGTGTGTTCATCAATATTGAGTGCCCCTTGATGCCACACGTTTGGTGCTCCCCAACTATTCAGGTGATTACAGACTGCAATCTACCTGCCAATACTTTCATGAGTATTTTGTAGTCAGTGTTGGTTAGCGAAATGGGCCTATAAGACGAAACTAGTTTTAATTTTGCTTTGTCATCCGTCTTAGGTATTAGAATAGTGTGCGTCTCAGCAAATGAAGGTGGCAACGCTTTGATTGCGTAGGCTTCCTTGAACACAGCTTGTAACACTGGTGAAATTTCTGTTTTAAAAGCTTTATACCACATCGCACCGAGACCGTCAGGCCCCGGCGACTTCCCAGCAGCGAGACTATCTATTGCATATTCAATTTCAGAAACGGTTATAGGCCTCTCTAACGCTTCTTTCGTTTCGAGGGATAATTGCGGCATCCGGCTCAAGAAAGTGTCCTTGAACTTCGAACATCTACTAATGCGGCTACGAAGAGACCCTTGTAATACAGAAAAGAAAGCTTCAGCGATAGTGCTGTTAGTATTTAGCAGAATTCTATTTTCCTCTATTTCGTCGATGTGATTACGACGCGCTCGTGACTTCTCGATTCCAAGTGCGCGCTTGGTAGGTGTCTCCCCCATAGCCCACGCCTCTGCTCTCGCTCGAATAAGGGCTCCTCTGTAGCGTTCCTGCTCTACTAGCTCAATTTGTCGTTTCACCGTTCGAATATCTTCCTTATATGCACCGGGCTCCTTGCTTTCTAATGCTATCAATTTCTTAAGCGTTGTTCTGAGTTCGTTTTCTTTCATT